CTAGTGGAGTAGTGGAAATGACAGTAGACCTGACCGGAGTGCTCGTAATAACTATCCTGAGGTCCAAAGACGGTGGGACAAACTGAACAAGTGAAATGTTCGACGTGAAACTTCATGTCTACACGATGAGTAAGTCAGTTGAATGCGAGATCCGAAGTAATGATGATCTTTGAGATGGATGAGTGAGACTTACCCAGTGCTGTGATATAACTACCTCTGAGGGCCCCACCACATTTGGCACAGATAAGCCCCAAGCGCCTGAAGTAATCTGTCTCACAGAGTGGATACTGAGTTCTTCCATCGGGTGAGCCACTGTCGACTGGGAAGAATTTACTGGCAACCACCTTGCCACAGTCCTGACATCTGAAGCAGTTGAGATGGTAGACGGTGCCAAGAGCTCGGACGAACTGGCCGGTCATTGATTGTCGACATTTTGCACAAGGTTGACGTGGGCTAGAGCCGGTTGAAGGTGTAGGGGGCGTGTTGGGTGGCAGACTGGGTGAGGGAGTTTGGAGTGAGGATTGATGATGAGCTGAGGAGGAGGAGGAGGAGTCGATAAGGTTGTGTGTGGATGTTTGATGGGATGAGTGGGTTGATTGAGAGGATTCCATGGATGATTGGGTTCTGGGTTGATTCTTGTTTGGTGATGGTCTAGTTTGAATTTGGTGATGATGATGATGGTGGTGGTGGAGATGGTTCGGTTGAGGGATCCGGAAGGGGTGAGTGTCATCCAAGCATGAGGTGGGATCAGAGCGAGACTTGAATAGAGGCTGACGATCAGGTTGCAGTTGCTGCTGTTGAGAGGGTAGGTTGAACGAGCGAGTCGGTTGAATCTGATGTTGGGGTGTCTGATGATGATGTTGAGGTTGATGTTGATGCTGTTGATTGACAGAATGGTGAGTGAATGATTTTGGGGAAGCACTGAGGATGTCTTGTTGAGTTTGTTCTTCCAGAGTGTTTCTTGGTTGTTGTTGTTGTTGTTTGGTTTGGGCTGGTATTTCTGGGCTGGTGCTGGTGCAGTTGTTGCTATTAGTAGTAGTAGTCTCGCCTGCCTGCTGGGGTGCTGCTGTGGTGTTGTTGTTGTTGTTGTTCTCGGTCGAGTTGCGGCTGGGCAGCTTTAGCAGTCGGGTAGAGACTATCAGACTCGAACTACGGGGACTGAAACTGGACTGGGCGGGGCGACCGGGGAGAGGGCACCCAGCATCGGTGGATGACCGAACTCGATCGGGGACATGTCCGCCCATCGTATGGTCAGCAGGAACAGCCGAAGAGGAATCCATGGACTGATGAGAAAGCTGCTGTTGACCTTCGGACTGGGAGGGAGGAAGATACTTCGCCCCGAGGGGTGATGGTCTGGACTGCAACATCGAGGCTGAGCTACAAGATTCCTGACCCTGAGTCTGGGTAGCAGAATTATTGAGTACTGCATCATCAGAAGGGGTGGCTCTGGTAGCTCTACTATCACCATCAATGCTCTTCTGTCTAACACCCTCGTCCAGACCCTTGTCGAGCTGATTGAATTGGCAGGTGAGTATATCATGCTGAGAGTTGGTCGGTGGCGCACCCTCTCGGGCGAGCGTGCTCGTCGTGCTGATCGTAGTCGTCTCTAGTTCGTTCTTCTTCTCCGAATGAGTATTGTTATTGTTGCTTGTATTATTATCGTCATCATTATTATTATTATTATTATTACTAGTCAGGTTGGGTGATGGGTTGAGTAACTCAGAACATTCGATGTGATCAGCCGCATCCGAGTAATCGCTAGGCTGACTATCACCATCATCAGTGTTTTCGTCTCGGTTTTCATCGGCTTCGAGGCGGATTGAGCTGGCCGATGACAGACTGGCTGTCTGTATTACTTCGGAGGGTGATCGATCGGAGTGACTGTTACAGTTCTCAACTGATTCTCGGGTACCATCACCACCGCCGATATGGGCAGCACCAGCAGAAAGTTCATCCATCCCTTCTCCTGCTTCCTTAATAGGAGTCCTTCTTCAGGCACCCTTTGATCTTGATCTCTATCTGCTGCTCGATCTTCCCTCCTCGACGGTCGTCTTGTCTAGTTCTTGAGCCGGAAAAGAAAGAAACGATCAAGAAAAAGGACAATCGAGAATGTGGTCACTCTGGGTTCCTCTGCTTCGATCGATCTCTGGTGCTAAAAATATATAATAATCAATAAAAAGACGTAGCGCTATGGGTCGAAATAAAAAAATAATAATAATAAGGGATGTGCTGGAATGTGGGGACGGGTGTTGAACTTATAGGCCGACAAATTTGTGAGCCCCCTCTCGCAACTGGATCGAACCGGAACAAGATGTTGTTAAACCAGTCGCGCGTGGATAACTTGAACCCTAACTCGATCTCAGTCTCTCAAACATTCAACCCGAACGTTCTCAAGCAGACTGTTCTTGACAGAAAACATTAAATCACATCTTCAACCCATCAGCCCATCAAACGACCGACTGTTCTCATCATTTACAATCACAAAACATCCAGCATCGAGAGAGATGAACGAAGCGAAATCAACAGACTACATAGCAGCGGCGTCGTGAATTACTGTACAACTCACTTCCATCTAACTTGGCGGCATGCTTTTTTGAGAAGATGGTTAAAGAAAAATATAGAAGAGAAGGTGTAGGATCCAAGATCCAAGCTGAGGTTAAAGCATCTGTGTCGCAACTTTCACCGAAGTCCCTTGGGGCTTACATACAATCATCCAAGGCGCCTCCTCATGAAAGGAACCTTATAAGTTCTACGTTGAAAGGCAAAGTTGGTATTTATATTTTATGTGGAAACTACCACCTTACACTCTTGCAGATGTATCTTCGTCATGGTTTCTGTACTTTGAAAATATTTTGCCAACTAATCCATGAGAGAAGCTCAGAATACAAACCTGCAAGGCTGGACATCCACCACATGTTGTCTGATGTATGCACTGTTTCTGAAGTGATCAGCAGAACTTGAATGAAGCAGATCAGCAAGCATAAATCTCAGATACAGATATGAGACCAAGGAATGTGATGACAAAACATGCAGTTCATTCCTCGTATCTGCTGCAAGGACCTGGATTTTGTAAAATTGATCAGCTCTTGGGAGGAATTTCTGAATTTCTTTTTTATGCCTGGATCTCGATGGATCATATGAGGAAAAAGGACTCCAAGAGAAAAATCATGAAGGAATAAGGGTAGCTGGTGTTGTACATGCCTGATTATTCCAATTATGTGATGGAAGGAAATATGCCTTCACTTGGGCAAGAACTGTACCAGGTACAAATCCCTACAAACAGTTTCAAATTTTCCTAGATTATACTTTTCACTTGGGGATTGGGAGAATGATTGACAAGTTTTGTTGTGCCAGATTTCTTAGGAACTGGCCAAAGAAAATTGACAATTGAACAAGATGGGCTGAAACCCAACCTTGGACATAAATACGTAGTCTACTCTGACCCTGGTTAGTATACACATTGCCCATTTTTAGCTCATCCTGTTTTCACAACAGAGCCAGTTTGCAATAGAAAATCCAACAAAGAAAGCCCTTAGAGCATCTCCATTGTGATTGGTAAATTGGGTTTCTAAAATCAACTTACCAACCAAACTCCCAAAAACCTTATCCACCAGTACAGACACTATCTTGAGTGCTAAGCTTAAAAAACACCTTGGCTTGAGTCACTAGCAGGCTGCTACATACATGTAGTGACTCCCTACAACCAACAATATTAGAGCTCTGAAAGTGTGAAACCTCCCTCCCAATCTGTGCAACTTTCATGGCATGTCACAAGGATTTCATGTTGGGTTTGCCAGGTTTTACCAGTCCACTTTGTCTTGGGAGGTAAATCTGGATCTTGGTTTCTAAAATCCCAAATTAAGCATCCTGGAGTTGATACCAACCACAGTGGACAACAGCGGGGCTCATAGAGCTGTTGATCCCAAACCAACAGCCACATGGCCTGCTCCAAAGCTTCAAGATAGTTCAAAACACACACACACATGCTACAAGTAAAATCTGACATCCCAGCTGTATTAAAAAAAGGGCCTTGGATAAACAACTCCTAAATTTTAGGCGACAACTCCCATTTGTTGGTTGACGTTGAGAGGACCATCTGAGGACCACTCCTGGACCAACTCTGGACCCAGGGGTTGGTCCGGGGAGTCGTTGGACCAATTTCAATTTTTTTATGGGAGTCGTCCACCCATTTTGAAATTTATTATTTTTATTTTTTTTGGGAGTTGTCCACCTAAGATTTCGGAGTTGTTGGTTCCAATTCTCATATTTTTTTCAGGGTTTTCTGTTTTCTGTTTTCTTTTTTTTTTTTTTGACTGGGAGTCATCAGGCTAAAGTCTCCTGACAAAAAGGGAGTCAACAGCCCAATTTTCACAAACTTGTTCTTGGCTTTTTTTTGTCTTGCAGGAGTTATTGAACTTGCTTTTTTTCTGTCACATTTTGCCAGACCTTTCTTCCTTCTTTCTTCCCCCCCCCAATGAAAAAACCCCGATTTTTATTTCTTTTCTATCCAATTTTTCTCATTTTGTCCCCTTGCAGTTACATAAACCAAGACTCTTTCCTGCCCCTCAGCTCTTGAAGGATTGGAAACAAAAGGCTTCAGAAGAGGCTTGGGGATGCCAATGGGAATCCCAGTTTTCTGAATGTAACCAATTGACTGTAGAGTGGAAGATTGCAACTCCAATGACCCATTACTAGTTTTTTTTTACTGTGTCTTTTTTAATTCTTGATTTTTTTTCCTCTATGTCCTTTTTACCCTGTTTTTTTACATTTCTGATCAATTTTGTATGTTTTTTTTTTTCCTTTTATCATTTCTTTTATCTTAATCTTAATTGTCTCCCTATTGTTTTTCTCAGTGATAAGGTGCCTTTGGGGCAGGGTCTCAGTGGCTCATTTTCTTATGTCTCTGGGGTCACTAGGATCTCAGTGGCTCAATCTCCTTTATGTCTCTAGGGTCACTATATGGTGATGATTCCCATAATAAAAAATGTAGGGGGCTTTTTAGTCGAACAACTCACATTGTTTTTAATAACAAAAAAAAAAAACATTTTTGCCTGAATTAGGGTGACGACTCCCGTTTTTTAGTCAGACACCTCCCGTATTTTCAATAAAAAAAATTGAAAATCTTTTGTGAAATTAGGGCAATGACCCCCTTTCTTTTTCTTGGAAATTAGACAAACAACTCCCACTGACGACCCCTGGACCAAAACAGGAGTTGTCAACTAAAATTTAGGAGTCGTTTTTCCAAGCCCCTAAAAAAACAAGGCAATATTTTTCATAGCAAAACAAGCATCCAAAAGCCCAATGATGAACCACACAAATTATGGATAAAGGGGTCTGGATTTTTGCACACCAAAGAGTTCCTCCAGGCACACCAAAAGGGGGCAAAACTTGATGATTTTGGAGGATGTGGTTGCGGCTTCACTGCAAAGAATCTGGAGTGCACAAATCTATGCTCCTGTGAATCTGGGAGTGCCACTCCAGTGCATTTACTTCCCAGAGATTTCTTAGGGGTGCAAATCCTGCCAACTCCCAATTATTTGGAGTGCACAGAACTTGACTCCCCAACTTTGGGTTCTTTTCTTGGACCCCCCAGGCCGAATAAATCACACAAGAAGGACCTGATGACTGTTTGTAAGCAGGTCAGTGTGGGTTCCAAAAAAAACAAAGAACAATTCAGCTTGTCTGGCTGTTTACCAAGCCCAATCATCGCTTTCAAGAATTAAAAAATCAACCTCTTTTTCTGTCGAGTGTCATGCATCAAAAAAAAAAAAAAAACCATGAATGGTGGGTGAGATTGGTCTGGGTGTCCCAGAGAACACTCCAAACTTTGCGAGTCAAGCTCTGCACTACCAATAATTTGGAATGAGCAGGATCTAGACCCCGAGAAATCCCTGGGAAGTCACAACACTGCAGTGCATGGGTATGCACCCCAAGATATTCCCAGGAATGCACATGTGTCCACTCCAGATTCTTTGCAGTGCACAACCATGTACTGTAATTATGCAATTTTCCAATCCTGGTCCATGGGATGATCAAGCATATCCACCTGTATTGAAAGTGTAACTTAAAAATGTGGATTGCAAGCACCCCTTTTTATACACCACTTTGAAATTGAATTGATCTGTCCCTCATCCAGACACATAAGCTCTGCCCCTTTTTCTTGCAATGGAGCAGCTCACCACCAACCACACAACACTCCCCAGATTATTCCACTAATTTCATGTGCACATGAAACAGGAGGCTGTCTTAGTTGGGCTTCTGGAGATGCTCAGATTTGTTGGGACTACAGATCTCAATTGGTGTCAATGTTTTTTTTGGGGGGGTCATGGGAGTCAAGTCATTTTTTGTTATATTTGTATTTGAAAACACTTACACTCACATACATACACAAAACAAAATTGGAAAACATCAAGAATTGAGAAGAGGAAACCAGGAATATATTTGATATCTGAGGACTTCAGGATCTTATTTTGTTTGATTTTTTCTTGAGAAAACTTATGTAAAACAAAAAGAAAGAAGAAGAGTATGAAAGCAGTATTTTTTTGTTGTTCTGTGTGTTCTTGTGTGAGTGTATTATTGTTTTTCATTCATTCATTCTTTGGGTTTTTTTTTGAGATGTAGAAAGAAAGCAAACCAAATCAAATCAAACACAAAGAGAAGGAATAATACAAAGAAAAGAAAGAAGAAACAAAATTGGAGTGAAGCCAAAAGAAGAAGAAGAAGAAGAAGAACAGAGAAAAAGATAAGGAATTGAAAAGATGAGTATGAAGGGAGTAGAGACAGAGAAAGGAAAAAGATCAACATTCATTTCATCAACAAATGAACAAGTGAGAGAATCAGAAGAATAATTAAAGTCATTGGGGGGTTTTTTTAGAACACCCCCTGAGATCTCTCTCTCTTTCTCTTTCAATCTCGTTCTCTCTGTCTTACTTTCTCCCCAACTTCCATCCAAACGAAAAATAAAAAATGGAGAAGGGTGATCGAAATATGTACAATTGTGATTTTTCTTCTTCTTCCTTTGTTCATTTGGTGGGTTAGTTGTTTTCAGTGGGAAGTATGTTGATCAATTAACTGTTCACAGGTTTAACCTATTTTCCAAACCAAAAAAAAAAAAAACAGAAAAGAAGATTAACATCAAATCAAAGAACATAAGCAAATTATAAAGAAAAGGACAAACCTTAAATTCAGCCAGGACCGGAACGTGATCACTAGCGAAATGAGCATTAGGAAAGCCGACGACTTTTTTGAGATAAGCGTCATCGATTTTACCCAGCAAGCCGATGACCTGAAGAGACTCAGTAGAATACCAGATATAATCGATGACGCCTTTGAAGCCGGGCGTGTAATTTGTAAAAGGCAATTCTTTCGAATCCAGGTTAGAATAAGCCGATTTGAGTTTGAGAGAATGATGGATGCCGAACTGCGTGTAAGGTCCATAATTGTTCTTACAAAAGTCGGGATGAGTCGAGGGGATCAGGCCTTGGCTGAGATAATCATAGACTCCCGATTGAGGGATCGAGTTGAAATCGCCACAGATGATCGTTGGGATCTGGGTGCCATCCGAATAACTGGGTGCGGTTCGATAGTTATTGCTCAGGTTCGTCCGTTTCGGTAAGCGCGCAAACCGGCTCGAGATCTCCGAGATTTGGTCCATCAACATCGCCGTCTGGATGAGCTTGACATCCCGGAACTCCGGGTCCCAATGGATGTGCACATTCGCTACGATCTGTCGGGTCCCCGATTGGCGATGCTCTAGTAAGGCTATCACCGCGATGTTGTCCTTCGTCATCACTCGGTTGAACATGTCTTCCGTCTTGTGTGATTCTGATCTCATCGGGATTTGGTTAAACTCAACACATTCTCTCTCGATTAATTGAAACCTATTAAAAATAATCACAATCATCCCCCCCCGAAAAGATTGATCAGAAAAAAGAAGGGAAGAGGAAGAAGAACAATAATAGAAAAAAACATCTCTCTTACATGGAAGTTTTGAAGAACGTAGCACAACCATCAACATGCCTTCGTTCTTCACTACCCATCGTTCGAGCTCTCGATTTAGGATAAAAGACGCCCTCGTAGCCTTGATCCTTGAGACTTTGAACAAAGAAGTCTTCATACTGTTCGACGTCGACCTCTTGGAGACAGATGATATCAGCGCCGTATTGCATGAGTTCCTGCAAGATGAGATCTTTACGATACTCCCAGTTGAGGGCCCAAGAGGGAGTATAACCGTACATCCGATCGGTCGCATATCGTTCACAGAGGATATTATAACACATCGTCGTGAAGGTCTCCGGGGGTGGCGAGTAACCGTGATGGTCGTTATGGTGGTTCGAGAGATCCGAGTCGATGGTGATCCAGTCCCTCTCCGATGGGGGAAGTGGGACTGGACATGAGTCACGTAGATAGGCCACCAGTGAGGCCGTACCTTCCTTCTGGATCGTACTCAGTAGGGTATCCGTCAATGGGTTCCCTTCGACGCCTAATTCCTCTAGTTGATGTAGACTACCTAGTTCGGGAGGTAGTGAGGTGAGATGATTATCGAAGACGAAGAGGTGTTGGAGGGTGGTGATCATGCCTAGTTCGGGTGGGAGTGAGGTGAGCTTATTAGAGGAGACGTCGAGGATGGTGAGCGAGTTGAGTTGGGCGATGGAAGGTGAGAGTGAGGTGAGTGAGTTGTGAGGAATGTAGAGTGTAGTCAGGAAGTCATAGCTGAAGAGTGCTTCTGAGAGTGATTTGAGTTTCAGTCCGCCCATGTCTACGGTTGTCCAGCCGGTATTTGATGATCGATTTTGAGAATGAAGCTTGTGATGAGTCATCGAGCCTTCGTTCTGAGCACCGTTAGCGGTAGCCGTTGAGCTGGTCAGACTGGTATCGGTTGGACTATTGGGATTAGTTCTATCGCTCTGGTTTGAGCTATTACTGCTGATGAGAGACTGTAGGTTCTGATGACGGAGTGGGTCGGAGTGATCGTTAAACTTTGAGTTGTTGGAGTTGATGTTAGAGACTGAGCTTGGGCCGCCGAGATGGGCAGGGTTGTGATGGAGTAGGACCGGTTTAGGGGGTCGATTGGGGTCGGTGATGGTGAGTGCAGATGATGCTTGACCACGAATCTGAAGTTGTGCGGCTCGGGCGTGATGATGAGCAGCACTGGATGCGCGAGAGATCTGAGCATGTTGAACCTGTTTGGCCCAGGAGGGTGTGAGTGGTGTTGGTTGAGAGCTTGCTTGAGACTGTTGTTGTGAGCTGATTGGCTGGTGAAGACTGGTTTGATTGGATAAGCTGCTTGGATTGGTTGGATGGCCTGGGGCAGGTGAGGAGAGATATTGAGGATGGGAGTTAGGCTGAGACTGATGGTAGATTGATGGTTGTTGTTGTGGGTGTTGCTGCTGCTGTTGTTGTTGTTGTTGCTGCTGTTGTTGTTGTTGTTGCTGCTGCTGTTGTTGGTTTTGGGCTGAGTTAGCAGGATGATGGGATGGATAGGAGTGTTGTTGTTGTTGATGGTGAGAGTGATGAGGATGGAGTGGATGTTGTTGTTGTTGTTGTTGTTGCTGCTGCTGCTGTTGTTGGTGATGATGGTGGTGATGGTGGTGGTGATGGGTAGCAGGTGGTACTGGTGGTGGTGGTGGTGTTGGATAGTGGGAGAGCTGTTTGATGAGTTGAGTTGATTGCCATCGAAAAGGTCCGGCAGCAGGGTTGGGCAGATGGCCGTTCGGAGGGTGATACATCTTCTTGCTTGGTGAGTCGATCGGCTGATTCGAAAGTGGTTGGTCTTGGGTTTTTCGGAAAGAATGGGAAAAGAGAAAAAAGGGAAAGAGGGGGAGGGAGAGGGGGAGAGGGGGGGGGAGAGAGGATGACGAGGGAGAGTTAATTAAACTTAAAAAAAAACACCAAACTAAACTAAACCAAACTAAACTAAACTCAGCCTGTAACTACAATAGAACCCAGTCACCAACCAACACCTTCAACTTCGATGCTTGATAAGCACTCATACAATTACGCACAAAACAGGCCAACCAGTCACCTCCAATTCACTAGTTTCTCAATTCGCTGATCAAGCTCTTCAAGTTCAACACTATGCGAAGAAGCAATCAAAACCCAGGATGAGTGAAACCAAAAAAAAAAAAAACATGATACTCCCTATATCCTACATAATTTAAAAAAGTCAAGCATCCCCATTCATCAGGCCAATTGATATCCTATCACAAGTTGAGGAGAGGGATCAAGTAGGACAGGGACCTCATAGGCCCAGGCTCAGTGCTTGATCAGGATAGAGATATAACAGATTGGTTTAATTAGGCTCATCATGTCAAGTTTCCAAGTTCAACCCACTGGATGATGTCAGTATCTAAAATACATCACACACCAGAACCTTCCTGGTTCCACTCTCATCAAGAGGGACAGATTTTATCATTCACCAGTGTTCAGAGGTGGGACTGGAACCATTTGAGAATATGTATGGAACCTGCTTTGTGGGTGACTTTCCCCTAATTCTTTCTCATATTCATTCTTAAAGAAAAAACAATGATCCAGAGTCATCTCTGTGGGATAGCAAGGACCTGTACCATGGAGTTCAAATTTTGATTCCTTTTTTAAAAAGAGGATTGGAAACAAGGAAGATATCTCTTTTTGGAATTATTCAACTTCAGGCTATTAACTGGGATTTCATGATGGTCACTTTTGACACTAGAAACAATTTAAGAAAGACAAATCCTACAAAGTTGATCAGTGTGATACTGTATGGTCAATTAGGCCCTCATTACAGGACCCCGGCAACTCCCTGTCAAACCAACTTATGTAGCACGTATCCAAATGTTTTTTTTTGCAAAATGCTCCTCACGAAATTCATCGGATATGTACCTCATGAACCTAGAATCTTTTTTGGGTATTCCCACCAAAAAGTGCATTTTTTTTAGCTACAGCAGGCTATAAACTGCAAGGGTTAGCAATTTTGGATGTCTCTCAATTTTTTTGAGCTACCATGCTTGAAATCATCCTCATGTAGGATGTATCTAAATGAAGTTTTGATTAGAAAAACTCAATTTCTCTATGTATCCAAAACCCAAATTTCCTGGGAATTACATGAGTTGGTTTGACAGGGACTTTCCAGGGTCGTCTCATTCCCTGAATGTGGTGGAGACAGTTTTAAAATTGAATCATAGACAGTAGTTATAACTTATATTCAATTGAATTACACTTCACAAAACAGTGAAACTTTGATTTGACATAATACTATGCTCTGATACTTGTTCACTCACCAAAATGGACTGCATATAAAGATTCAGCTATGCTTTGACTTGTCTTACCACATCAGTTCCCAAACCATCATTACCTTCACCTATCAGTCCCCTCACCATCATAATCTTCTGTTGTGATTCATACCAACAAATCATATAACCATGCTATTAACAAAGATGTTATTTTTATTCCAGCTCCTACATTACCATACTGTTTCAGCACTCCCAAACTTGATGTCAAAATCTGTGGATAATAAAAAATCTCTTCAACAATTTATCAAACTCCACAAACACAACACCTTGAGAAAGGAAACTGGGTCAGGTAGCTTCTCATTTCTCACTGAATGGGTTTTTGTTTTCCTTTTTTTTCTGACTGTAGATATGTGCTAATACATGATGATTATGATTCTTGATAACTCCCCCAGAGGTTAATCAATTAAGCTGTTTTCCAAGTTTCTCATCTTGCCTTGGTTCCAAATCACCCACTTCTTCAAGTAAGTGGTTTCATAAAAAAAGACAATATTTTGTGTGTTTCTGATTGCAATAAGATGAAAAGAGCATGTTCCAACTGATTCTTGAATTTCAAAATTATCACACCAAAACAATCATGTGAAGCAAACAACAAAATAGAATATAAGGAATACAAATTGAAGATAGCTTCTTTTACAGAAGAATGCAACACTTTAGTTAAGCTTTTTGAATATGCAGAATCACAGGTTTTAATGGAAATAATGAAGAAGCAAGAATCCATTGGGCCCACAAATATGATAGAGTTAAAGGATTTCCATGAAAAAGTCAATGGTTTACTTGTGATGCTAAATGATCAAAAAAAGGAAGAATTTTGGAGGTTTGTGGAGAACAATAAGGAAATCCTTCATTTGTTTCCATCCAAACCTGTCACATCATCTGGTTCTGATTCCCCCATGGCTGTTAAAATTCTATTTGGTAAGTAATAGGAAATGCTTTCCATTCAATCTCGAAAACAACCACAAAATCTCTGATCCATTTACTAACTGGGTAATTTCAATCCCTTGAAAAAAAAAAGATATGGATCTGGTTAAGGGTCAAGTATCAGTTAAAGAATTTGAATACATTGGTAGATATAAGGACTTTGTTGATGTCTTGGACACCTCTGAAGCATTAAAATTCTTGAAGATGGAGAAAAACTGGGCAGAAACTCCTGGAAGGGTAAATGATCCAAACTTCAAGTCATTACAAGAGGAATTTGTAGAAAAGAATGAATTCCTGGCCAGTTTAAATGATTTCAAAAAAGAAAAATACTGGGAATTTACTGAACATCTCCGGCCAATCACACATGATGACTATTCAATCCCACTTGGAGTAGAATGTGATACTGGAATTTCTCCTTATTTGGATTGTTTACCTCATTCTGAATATAAGTTGTTGCTGAAAGATATTGAAGATCTTGAAAACAAACACCCCAATCCTGATTCAAAATTACTCAAACATCAGCATGAAGGATTGATTGTTGGACTGGCAGGCTTGAATCAGTCCAGACAGGAAAACTTGTGGAAAGTTCAGGCATGGTTAAGAAAATCAACAATCAATATGGCAATTGATCATCGTGATTATACTTTCAGGGATGATCAAAACACACATCAAAGGGTTTTTGGGTTTTTTTATCATCTTATTCTTAATTAAATATCTGAATAAGTTTTGTTATTTCATAAATACACAATTCTCTTACAGATTACTTCAAGAATGGCAACAAAGAAGACTAAAGCTTTTTAGAATTTTCTTATATGTTTCTTAAAGACAAAAGATGAACCTACAAGCAGTAGTAATACAAAAGTATATGAATAGTACTCTTCCTGTTAAAAATAGATCAACAAATAAACATGTGATTTCTAGCTTAGATAAATTGATCTGCTTGTGAATTTGTTTGATTGTTTTGGTATTTATCTTGTCAATCTCTCTCTCTCTATTTCCCTAGATCTCTCTCCCTCACTCTCACATTCCACTTTTTTCACTGGTCATCTCTTAGGTTTTTCATTCATTATTGTCATGCTGATTGTAACCACAACTTGGCCCTTTTGTATATAGATTTCTGATCTATCTAGATGAAATCCAAATGAGATTTCATCAGTCTTGGCCGCACCTTTTCTTAGAGGCACATCCTCCTCTAACACTTTCCGTGAGGATACCTAAGTCTTCTCAATTAATCATCCAAGACTAAGGTTACTTCTTCAGACCTTGTCTGACTTTGGCTTTGCCAAATTTTCCCAAACCTTTTCCATTCTTACAGATAGGTATATTTTTCTGAATCAATATTATATTCAAAATCACAATTTATATGGTTGAAAAATGTGATGTTGGTATCATGGTGACAATGGTCAAGATAGTGTAACACATCAACTTTGTTCATATTACAGTAGTTTGACTTTCTGTTGTTTTTCAATAAATATGAGTGGTTTAGTTTTTATTCAATCAGTCATGCATCATTACACTTATCTTTATGCCATAGCTAAATGGGGCCTTAAGAAATTTCCAAGCAACCATATATAGGGACTCAGAAAAACGACTCCTGTTTTTTCGCCAACGACTCCCAACGACCGTCAGCGGACATCCGTTGGGAGTCATCTTCTAAAGTGTGGACGGATTCTGGGAGTCGTCCGCCCAATTTCATTTTCATTTTTTTTATTTTTTTTATTATTTTTTTTGGGAGTCGACTCCCCAAACCACCCCTCATGTATGAGGGGGTTTGGGAGTCACTTCCTCCCACTTGACCGGAAGGAACCCCTTCTGGTCAGTGAGGAAGCTAAACCTCATCGACCAGAAGGGATCCCTTCCGGTCAATGAGGTTTAGCTTCCTCATTGACCGGAGGAGGGTCCTTCCGGTAGATGAAGCCCTCGCTGCAACCCCCCCCCCCAACACCATCTATTGGGAGGGATTCCTTCCTGTTGATCAGGTATAGCTTCCTCATCAATCAGGAGGGATTCCTTGCAGACAATGAGGAGGCAAACGTCACCAACCAGAGAGGATTCCTTCCGGATGATGGGGGATCGCTTCTCCATTGAATGGTAAGAAACTCCTGGGGTCTTGCGGAAGAGAGACCTTTTAACTAGAAAGAAATGCCTCCATTAAGGAGCTAACCCCGCGGCTCGTAGTAAACGACGCATTCCCTTCGAGTTGAAGAGAGTAAATATTCCTAGAACACATGCAACATTCCCATATGGTGAAAGCGGGGAAAGGTCAAAATAAAAAAAAAGAAATCTAATTCTGCCATCCAGAAAAAAAAACCACTTAACTGAAGAGCTCTCCTCGGAGACTTCTGAGTAACACATACTTTTCTCTCGACTAAAATACAT